TCAGCAGTAGCGTGCTAATCCGTCGCGATAACCATACACTGTGGAACTCTTGATATATGTTGTTAGAGTCAATACTACGGCCCAAGAAACTGAGCTACCATAGCGCAATATACGGCCTATCATATGAACGTCCTCGCTGAAGATAGACCAACTCTCAACGACTGGGCAGTTCTCAAAAAAATGTTCACATTTCTCAAGAAGTTTCAGTTGGCAACAAAGAAAATAGAAGGTAGACGAAATACTGTTGAGGAGATTCTACATGTCATTGACTTTCTACTCAATGCCTTCGACACCACCTTGAAGGAAGCGGAACGCCATAATGATATCGCGTTTATTGCCATGATAAAATGCGGTTGGTAAATGCTCGATAAATACTTCAGCCTCACGCACAGGGCTCCGGTTTATGTTGTTGCGGTTGTACTTCACCCCGTCACAAGTGGAATCATTCAACTCAATTAATTTTAGTCAATTGAATCTCCAACTACGCCTTCCGTCCACCATCACCCATGTTTTCATATGAGTTTGTGTAAAGTGTGTGATTTCAAAAGTGCACTTCATAGTGGAAACATAGTGATAGTTTTAGTCACGAATGTTAGCAAAAGATCATTAAGTCGAGGAGATTTGAAGCATTCATATGTGGCAAGTTGATAATTCTAGTTTATTGTAAGAACTTCCTACTATCTTTTGTCAATGTTGCATGAATCAAGAGCATGAGATGATTTGAATATCACTTCTGACATTTCAATTGCCTCATTTTTTTGACACAAGTGGCTACAGTTAATTATACAATAATCTCCTGGTTAAGTACACAAATTGATCTTGGGAGTATTTTGCGTACTTAACCGGGAGGTGCATTGTTAGGCGAATCACTTCTTAATAGAATGGAAGAATCTGTCAAAATTATCAAACAATTGAGAGGAGAACTTGCATCTCAATTAATTTTACTAGCCCTCACATATATAATTCCATATTCGTTCCGGTGAACTAATAGTCATAGAAGTTCTCTCTTTTGTGAGACGAGGCGTTAAATAGAACCTACTAACAATAATTAGTAAATTTTTGAAAGTATCATATATAACTTTTAGAGATAGTCGGAGTTTAAAATCGGAACAAAAATCACCTAGCAGATCTTAAAAGTTATCATGATACAATTTGTTATTGAGTCCAATCACGTTGTAATATATTGCTTTCACTCTAATGTCAAAGAAACCAAAACTAAACTACTAAATGAGTTTGAGTGGTGTGATATAAGTTGAGCAACACCAATACTCCATTTTACTGGAAGCATCAGTGTTTCTAGGTGCTCTAGGTCGCAAGGACGAAGTTAGTGAAACTGCTATAAAAGATATATGAGACAAGTAGGAGCAAATCCTTAAAAGATATAATTTAATGTTTCATGAACCTAAAGAAATTATTTGCAATAGTTATTAATATTTTATTGAGTTTGAAGAAATGCTTTACATTTTGATTAACACATGCGAACGATCATTTTTCTCATTCGGCCAAAAAAAAAAAGAGTATTGATTTAAGTTTATAAAATTTGACTAAATTAATCACAATGTGATGAGGGTTGCCAAAGGTGTTGCTTCTTGGCGACGTAGTTTAACAAATCCGATAGTGGATTATTGAAACCTTTAGACGTCTTCTAAATGTTGTTTGCCCAATATAATCTGAAAACATATGAAATATGATCCGTATCGGCTTTTTTTTGTACAACTACCGAAATAGAGACTCCTTATACAAAATGAGGAGAAATCCATCAAAAATTTATTTCCAAACAAAACAATCTTGAAAATATGCTCAAATTGATAATTTATGACATTTTGAACTAAATAAATCTTGATCCTCATTTTTTGGAGAAAATTATGCGTCTTACCCGGGATGTGTATTTAAACAAGTGTGTACTTAACCGGGATGTAAATGTACTTTTTCCCATCCATTGTATCATGATCTATCGTTGATTGCAAGATAGACTTGAAAAACATGGATGTTAGACTCGTAAGCATAGCATTTATAAAAGCTCGTAGTGGACTAGTGGAACATGAGTGACGGTAGGCTGCATGGTGTCTTGTAAGAATGAATCGAGTTGGGTACTAACAAGTGTTATGCGTTCCGTTGTGCTCATATCTTATAAAATGAATCGTGTTAGGTTTTAGCAAGTGTTTTAGGGGTTCCATCAAAAATAATTTTTTTGGTTAAATGTGCATGATAACTATTGTAGATTGTTTAGTTGTATCTCTTTCACGGAAATGCAATTTTGCGGTGGGCATTCATGAGTTACCATTGATTATGAAAATGAGTTTAAAAGACATAGGGCAAAAGGTAGAATCCAAATTTGAATCCATTGAAGTGCATTTTTTCAAGTTGCAGCTTGGAGATGTTATTTAGTAGAATAATTCCGAGTCTACCAAGTAAGAAAGGTCTACAGTTTCTTAAAGGGCAATATCTAACTAACGTAATTTACTAACTTATGTGATCTGTAATATTTGGAGAGATAAAGTTTTCGAAATTGAAGCTTTTTTTATACCTCATGTTATCATCATTGAAATCTACATTTTATCAAAGTAGCCGTTCGATGTATACTGACTTAGCATAATATATATCAACTCTCTTTTGGCCCGGGGTTGTACCTTTAGCCTGCTTTGATTTTCGTTTTGCACCCGAGTAGAGAATTTATCACTTTTTAGACCTCTCACATTTTCTTCCTAACCAGTAGGGAGAATTGATATGTTTTGTACTCAAATCTAGAATGCGATATCTAGGACTTCCTAGGCTTACTCATTAAGGCATACCAACCCTGTGATAGGACTACCGATGAAGTAACTGTCATGTAAAGCTGTAATCCTGTAGTACAATATTGCTGACTACTAAGTGAGTACGAAATACTGTCTTCAGTTTGCAATTTTATTCTAAATGTAGGAACGTTTTTTTGTGTGACCAAAAGTAGAAGTATTCGGATGCTATGTAGGGGCTATGACAGACATCTCACAAAGATTATTCCCAGTGTCTTCTACACACCACCAATTAGACAGTATTCTGGCTGTGACCGAAGCCAATTTTACAAATGAGCTTACTTTCAAGTCGCTTCAGATGATTGAACTGAACATTCATTGAGAATGAGCGCGTTCGGACATGCCCATCGGGGCTCTCAAAAGATACTGATTTCTGATATATACAGAAAGGCAAAGTTCTTCACTGGTACCTAGCCTGGACTTTTTAATCCTACAGCGATGGCAGAATTTCAGTGCATGCAAGCAAATGCTTCTAAGGACAGAACCTGGAGCAACGCAAATTTACCACAATTCGGATAAATGGCGCAATGTGGATCTTTTTAGAATGCGTTCAATCATCGACAGCAGCTCGAAACTGCTCTAAGACTGCTGGTATGGCTACCGTAGGCGGCGCTTTGTGTGTCCAGGACATCATGAGAGTTCCGAGACACAGATCAGGAGAAATGATGTGGTCATGACAGCAGCAACTGTGCCAGCATTCTCCCCTCCCGCGCGAAGTGAGAAGAATTAATTCCTAAGTGCTAATGAGTAGTGAGACAGTTGCTAACTACAGGTGGATGCGAGGAGCAGATTAGTTGGGATTTGTCGATGCAGCTGTAGAAGGATCGTCGTCTTACGTCTCTTCATCTTGAAGTCAGTGAAGAGATGCTGATTGCGTCAACTGCACTTCTTTCGTTTTAGCCGATGAGATGAGATCTCATCGGCTAAAACGATTCTCATCCACGTTACTTCGAAACGTGGATGAGAAATGTGGATGACGATCGTGGACTCTCGAAGCATGAAGCCGGGAATGGCGTCTACGGGAAGAGCGGACTGCAGAGTGCTGATCAAGCAGTGCATTAACAGACCACAGCTGTACGAGGGCTATGACAACTGGTGTTTTAGCTACAAAGGCAGAGGGGACGCCGTCGAACAGACAGAAAGAGAGGACGGGCATGCTCGTGATCGTCGTCCATACAGAGATCTTCAGCGCGCATATGACCCACTAATAATGCGGCTTTCATCAGGTCAATGTCAGTTTATCATCATGAAAAGAACGCAAACTCTCCCACCAATCTCATCGCGGATCTTACCTTGACCTCCATCTTCAACATACCATTGCTTTCTCGTGTTTCGCTTTTGAGAAGTTCTAATGTTCATGTCTTTCATCTTCATCTTCACGTGACTGTCCAACTCTCAACATGCATCCCCAGCTCTAAAGCTTTTCGAGGCTAGTTAATCATACAGGTGAAACGACCAATGCTAGACAGAGGTTGTTGTGTAAGCATGAAGTGCGCGGCGGAAGCTCCATAAGTAGGCACATAGAGATCAGACTTGGTGATCCAGAGCTTCTGCAGGGCTTCACATGTCAGGGAGAATTGCTAAAGCTCAATCTCCAGGAGAGCTATCTGAGAAAAAATGGAAGTCCTCTGAACTGGCTGCGAAAGCTTGGGCAGACGTTCGTACTCTCGTACGAATGATGACGATACGAAGAATTTTCTTGCCAAAGCACGTTGTAGGAATATCCTAAACAACTCTGGGTGTATACCCGGGAAACACTTTTGGCTTCATGAAGTACTTCGTCCTGATCCCACCATTTCCAGATGAAATGATTCTCCCACGAAGAGAGTAAAAGTAGCTCGCATTGGCAACAGAGAACAGAGGAGAAGAGGCGCGAATTAAAATGACAGACGTAAGGTCTGCAGGATCTTAGCTCTCCACGTAAAAGCAACGGCCACAATATGTCCAGTGTGTACTAAATAGCCTCGAGTCAGATCATCACAATTATGGCATCCAGATGAGGTATGATAATGACCGACTAACTTCAGTTCTCCAAGAACTTCAAGATCTCCCTGGAACGAGTTAAACTTCAACTGATCATCTTTGAAAACATGATGTGAGAAGTCAGGAATCTATGGAATCAGGGTCCGAGTACTACTGACAGGCAGAAAAAGGTCAGACAAAAATTTGATACAACACAAGGACTTGTGTGTGAATATTGAACATAAGCACAAGGACCGCACGTCCACGGACGAAAACCGTAACGCCTGAGATTGCCATTACAAACTTCTCTTCGTTCGAGTGATCCTCTGGGTCGGCTGAGGGCATGAGGGACACATACTTCTTAGCTGACAGACTTAGAGCTACCTTCTGTCGAGTCGTAACTCCGATAAAGTACGACGTCAGAGAAAAACATTTATGTCAGCCTTGCTGTTGACAAGTCTGAAGGTGACATATGTGCACTAAATAACAAACACCCTTTCCAGCACCTTTACTTACAAGAATCTGACAATCATGGCGAGACGGAGCGAATACTTCAGAAGAAAGAATGGTTGCATACTCAAAAGAAAGGACGATGACAGCAGACTACCTTCCTGGTTTCATCTGCTGTTTGTCCACGACAATGAGTACAAAGAATGACTGCTATGTTTACCCAATTGATCGATATGTGGATATTCTGTGTGAAAAAAATATGTCCTCTATATTAAGTTGTACACTCTGAGACAAGATAGTAAAACAAATAGCACCCACAGTGAAAGGAAGAAAGCAGAGGATGCTCGAGCCCAATTCCGGGGCCCACCTAGCTCTCCACCGAAGTGGTATCTTCTAAAGAAGACCCAGAGCCAGCATAAGGTAAATACAGCGAAGTAGACCGTTACTGAGAAACTAAGGCCCTTCGTTTCGGTCCCAAGACCCTGCCCGTATTTGATCCGATTGTAGCAGACTTGTAACAGCCAAGGCACTCCAATTCCTACAAAAACATTGATGCAGTTGCTGCACAAAAGTAGGACATTATCAGCTTAATGCTAAAGTGCAGGAACCTACAATCTAGGGAGATACCAAGGATAAAAGTCAAAAAAGGAAAGTTATCATTCCGAGACACTGTCGAATAAGATTATAATTGAAAAGAAAAGTAGACGAATGAAAAGAAAAAACCTAAACAATATAGTAGCGATGTGAGTGAGGAACTCTAGAGCAGTACGAGAACTTTCATCCTCTATTAAAATACAAAATGTCACCATGGACAAGTTCTGAAGCTGAAGGAGAATAACTGACATTGAGAACGGATTAATACCTTGTGTTGATGTTGGCGATTCCTGAATCAGCTGTATTACCACGTTCTACAGCTATTTTGCTGGCTATGAGATCCGGAAATGAACTGCCGCTTGCTAAAACTATGATGGATATGGCGTATCTATTAATTCCTGAAAAGTCGAAAAGTAAAAGTTAGCGATCAAACCGGTTGACTGTATACCGAATTCAGCTACTGATCTGTTGTACAAGATTTACAGCAGTGGCTCTGGAGATAAGTCCTGCAACTGACTACATTACATTAAATGCTAGTCTGATGAAGAATAAACAGCAGAAATGATCGGATATTTTCACGGTTGTAACCACCGTATATGTGAGTAGAAAGACCAGATCATTTCATTCTTCAAACTATGTAATCCAAATGACTTAAACTTACCACTTACGCATCCGAAAAGATTGGCGAGTTGTATTGTGAACGTTGATATGCCGGCGATGCATATAAGTGCGCAAAAGAAAGCAGGCCAACCGTGTCCGAACGATGTAGGTGGGATGAAGGCGAAAAGGACCCGCCAAAAAAAAGTGATCATGTGCCAGAGTAACTGTGTAAATGGAGGTACAATTTCTTTCCCGTTCTCGTCTCGCAAAACTTTTACCTGCAAAGGAAAAGAACATCCAGTTAAACCAGGTGCGCAGGCATCTGACCGTGACAAGCTTGAGAGAAATCTAAAAACATGTGATGCTATGGTGGTCCGAACAATTCACGACTGGCATCACAACGACATCCTATTTCGTGCAATAGAATAGTCCAGGGACGGTTTTGTCCATTTGTGGAACTACTACGTGTGTTTAGCACCCACATTTTTCCTTTATCGATAGCCCTTTGAGGACCTTATACCGGATATTAAGATCGAAATCCTTAGCTCAAAATAAAGATAGAAACAAAATAAATTGCAATGCCCCTTTCTTGAGGAAGTTTGAAGGTGTTGCATGTTCAGGGTTCAGTAGCTTCTACGAACACATGCAGCCAACAATAGTCGAATTATAGCATGAATCCGATTGGGTAGACCTCCATATTATTCAACCTGGAGGCAACTTTCTAACTTAAACACAAGGTAACAACATTCTACCGCTCACAAATGACCAAGTTGTGCAAGTTAAAGAACATACTCTTAATCAGGTCTTGGGGGCACTTATGTGCCATCGTGATGTAAATAACGACGACCAGCTAATGTAAAAATGATTTGACTCGGTAGTAACATATGGTGAGGAAAACTTGGGAGATATACACTGGAACTCAGAGTAAGTTGCTATAAGTTGCTTGCAGTGCACTGTCCTTGATGATATACGTGCATAAAATAAAGTTCCCTTTGGTATCTTGTTGAAGTATATAGTCAAGGCGTGCATTCTCACCGTCATCGCAGTGTGGAGCTGTGACCTCCATTGCTCCCTCACAGAAATTTCTTGTTCGGGCCCTGCCTCAGACATGAGGTAGTTGTCATGTAAAAATACGCTGTCGGAAGGGTTCGTCTGTATGTTACCTGCCAACAGTGCAACACAAGTGGTAAGTAAAAGGAGGACAACAAATTATGAAGAGAATGACATTCGAGGCTGTGGGATCAACAAATGGACATGAAAGATGATTCTTGAACGAATAAGAAACCAACTTTCACTTGCCGGTCAGCTGAGGCTGGTTGGCAGAAGGAGACTCGACTCGGTCGTCATCTCGAGAACTGAAAGACAACGATGTCTCATAAGTCAATTCTCCAAGTTCGTGGTGGCCATTGCCTACCGGATGCTTGGAAGTAGCAACGTTCCTGTACTGGAGCCACCCAAACACTTTCTTGAACTTGTCCTCCCATCTATATTCCATTGAAACAAAACAGAAGATTGTGCTCAGAAGTGTTTCAAGAAAAGCTCCTTTGAAGGCTCTCCTTGAAGTATAAGGTTTTGAGTAGTAGTGCGCCTCACAAGCTTTTGATAACCTCGAAACAGAGGTTAGAGTGAAATGAAGTGAAAATATGAGATAAACAACTCACTCATGGACAGATTTTCTCTTACTACTCATCGACATCAGCTGTGTTTTCCCTCTTTAGCCGCTCTGATGTACAGAACGTGTTATTTCATGGGTAAGGAATTCTCTTTTTTCTGAGGACCCTTTTTTCTGCAGGAGCTTTTTTCAAGGCTCCTGCCACGTTTCATGGGAAGGTGATATTCATTTTCAATATTCGACCTAAAGTTGAGAATGTTATATACGTGCTACATGGCCCATACTTACCCAGAATCATCATAAGAATCATCAGGAGAAAAATTTTGATTTTGCTTGAGATCATTTCCCCCTGTTTCTTGTGCCCAATTTAGCACCTTTCGAGTCCAGAAGGAAATCGAAATATAAGGGCAATTTCTGTCCTCTGCATACGCATGCAGTATCAGCAACGGGAACTGCAGGACTGTCAAGAGTGCCTCCCATAAAGAGACTTCGTCTGGCGATGATACCTGGCCGTTAACAGTGTAAGCAACAAATATATCATCAGTGAACATCAGCGCAATGAATAGCAGCATCAGAACTGCCCTAAGATGCACATGATTTTTCAAGCAGTAAGGGCTGTTCATATCTGAGACAACTTATTATATGTAGTATACAGCGAGCAGGGCAAATGAGTAAGCAATGATCGAGTACTTAAAGATTGAAAGCGATTATTGTAGCGTCGTATAATTTGAAAAGAAGTCGCACAAGTAGTTCTACAAAAAGCTTCACTTGATGTTGGAAAAATATGATAGTTAGGAACAACTACAAATACAAGAGAATTTTTCATTCTAAACCGAGACGAATCTTTGAGTAGTCAACCGGCTCTGGTAAGAGATCGCACCTTGAGCATGATATATAGCCAAATGTAAGCCCAGATGGACCAAGTGAGCTCCACAGCAAAAACGCGAGTTTTCTCTATGCGTTTTACAGTACCGCCCACAGGTACGAGAACACAGATAGCCAACGTTGGAAGAAGGTTGAATGCAGCGGAACCTACTAGAGTACCTGGGCCGAGCCCTGGAACCAAAACCGAAAGCTTTTAGAACTCATCCCTACAGCCAAGAAACCCAGTATCCTCGAAAACAAATTCATACCCAATTTCGTCACTACTGGTGTAAAGACCAAGATGAGAAAATAACACCTAAGGCACTTTCATGGTTTCCAAGTATTGCATCGTGAGCCTCGTAAGTGCATACTCTAGATGCTGCGAAATCTACAAATATTTCACTCAAAGTCTTTCCTCCAAAAATAAATTTAGTTTCTGATTCAAGTGACGTGTGAGAAGGTCATCCAGTCCTCACCTTCAATATACAGGTCACCTAAATGTTGTATGGAGTCTATGATTGCGAGGGAAATTTGGGGCGAACTTGTGCCCAGCGCAAGCAGCGTTATATCTGCTACTGTAGAATTCCATATCTTCTCATGTTGAACTTCTACAATTCCAGTCACTGGGTTCTTTCTGCTGACCTTTCTCGTCTGCTTGACAATCATCTCCATAGCCCTCATATATAAGGCGGTGATGGTTGCCAATCCAATAAAGCAAAAAACAAGACCGAGGGCATAGAGCACTCCTCGAGTCTGATATCTCCAGACATTTTCTCCTGGAAGGAGAAGGTAACTGGAACAACTTTCTCTCTTACGTGTTGTGTTATCCTGAGAAAACTCAAATACTTCAAGTAAGTAACCAGTAGGTGTTGATATTCCCCAGCAGTCCCAGCCCGCACCAATCAATGAACAAAGTTCGGCAGCAGTGCTTGCCACTCTGGAGGCATTAGATCCGAGATCACCAACACCTGCACGATAGACAGCTTGAAACGAGAGCCGCTTCAGAATCTAGTAACCCAAGATCTACACGTGATACCGCAGTCACAAAGCCTCTTGGGCACATGTACAACAGTGAATCTTCCTCAGCTGAACCAAAATAATACTACAGTTCTGATCCGATATCAGCTTACGTTTTGATGATCGGTTTCAGACTTTTCTCTCGATTTATGCCACAAAGGAAATCCTTGATGATGTCAACGATTCAAAGTCTATATAGTTTCGAACGACGATCAAACCTGAGCAAACAGACAGTACATCTCCATAAAACCGTACGTTTAAATTCGACCCCGTACCTGCCATCCTCGTTGCTGAAGGTCAAAGTGAGTGTCCAGATAAGCTACACAATCAGCTACAACTGAGCGCTCTTCTCCTTCGCTTGCCGGTTTTCATCGAGGTATGTCGAAAGCGAGAAATATTCCGCAATTCGTACTGAAGTTGATCTGCAACTGAGAGACCTAAAGTTTTAAATATGTGATCTGTTTCGATGAATCCAGCCCCGTGCCTAGGCCACTTGAAGGTGACTGACATCTCTTCTTAAACCATTTTTATTTGTCGTGGTCGGTCGGAACTCTGCAAAATTCCATCAGAAAAATCAGGCACACGAAGGAGTAAATACAGAACAATCAGACCGTGAAGCTTATTAACCTAAAAACATGAGATTCGCATTTCGACATTCGGATTTTGCTAAGGTAATTAGTGGGCCTTTCAAAAAATTCGAGAAGATTCAGTCTGTGCGAGGCCAGTGAATCGTGCAATAGCTAAGAAGTCACGTCAATGCGGGCGTGTCTGAACGACTGAACAAGTTCACAATCAACCGAATTCGACGGGACTTACGTTAGTCGAAGCCTTTGGCACCTCAGTGTCGCGGAGATGGATGCGGAACGAACTACAACCTCACATGCTTCAGCTTGTAGAGTGGAAAAACATGAGGATCTTGAATCTTTGGCAGACTTTCATGGGATGTGGTGAGTCTGGTGACTATTCCATCTCGAGGAGTGCAGGTTGAAGATTCTAAAACTTCGTCAATCGGGATGAGGTGATGATTGGACGGGTGTTACTGACAATGCGGGAAAAGTGCACCGTGTACATTACCGTTATCGAAGTGCGCATCAAAGGTCTTCGGAAGGTGTCAAATTCATTTCAACGAGAGAAATCCAGGGAGAAGAAGTTGTGCAATTTTGCGACAGGACCAGGGGGAGCAGAAGCGTTTTCAAGAGAGGAGAGGATATGGAAGCACGCTGGGAGAGGTTTCGGAGAAGTTGTGGAGAATGTTTCGGACCGAATAAATGCGGTCTGAAGTTCGAGCGCATCAAGGCTTCGGGGCGTCTGGATGGAGGGAGGGAGGGAGGAAGGGAGGGCAGGGAAATGAGGGAAGGAGGTTCGGGAGCGACGACTTCAGACTCGAGAATCCACCGAGACCGGCAAAAAAAAAACGACTTGCCTTCGGCGGAACAGAATCACAAACGAAGCCAACGACCGACCGCGCAGCTGAGCTGCGGACGAAATCTCCTACCGCGAGCAATAATTTTATGACGGAAGACCAGAACCTCCAGAGATCTGCCCCGTCTGGTCCCCGTCGAGAAAAGCTGCACTGGCTCCTCAAATTATCAAACTACATGCTACCGCAGCGACGCTTTTGTTCAACATGTCAACGTCCTACCATGCGCGCCTCCGGACGTGCTCGTCTTTCGTCCGAAAGAGCACCCAATTGGCGGCATGAAACATGAAACTACACCTGTCTCACTCCACACATGCTCCTCGACTCTACTGTACGACTGCCTACTGGCTCCTGGGTCAACCTCAGAGCACCGGTCACAGCCTCAAAAGCCACAGACGAGTAGATTTATGCGCCAGATCTCGCTCCACCACCCCTCCCCTCACCCGAGTTAGCCACGCGCTGTGTCTGCTTGCACCGCAGGTGGCGGGCCCGAACTTACCGATCCATCTTCGAGTGAACATAACCGCGACAATATTTTACTCGAGCAGTTTGTGCGCCACTCATGGGATTTCGCCTTGCGGCCACCATTGCGACGCACATGCTGCCGAGCGCCAACTCGTCTCCAGCTTGACGACGAGCCAGAGCCGAGCAGCAACAGAAGCGAGCGGGGGACAGAGCCACGCCCAACCCGGACCGGAAAACATACCTCGCAGGCGGGCGACAACAGCTGGACGCCTGTCGCTTCACGTCCCGAATTGGAAGTGCGGGAGGCTCCCGGCGAGGGCCGGGCCGCGAGGACGATGGGCCTCGTGAGCTCGCGCGAACCGGAAGAGGAAAGATCGAAGGCGCAGGAGAATAATGAGCTCGACACGTCGTCAGATCTTGTCCGGATGGTGCTGCGGATGCTTCTGCTTCTGCTTCTGCTTCTTCTTCTCCTGCGCCTCTTTATCTTGATTGCGAAGCTGTCACCGCGCTCGCACATTCTCCCCCCTCGTCCGCTTGACATCACTCTTTGCCCGCCCCGATGCCGATCGTCGCAGCCCTCCTCGCAATCGCCCTCCTCTCCTCCCGGGCCCAGCACCTCTCTGCCCAAATTCTCCGCAATTTCTTCCTCCTGATGACGACGACGACGAAGAAAAAGAAGCAGAAGAAGAAGAACACGACGACGACGAATCTCTCGCTCTCGCTCTCCCTCTCATTGGCCTCCGTCGCGCGCGACGTCGCGAGATCTCCTTCCGCGACCATGGACGGATCCTCGTCCGTCACTCCGTCTCGCGACTTCCGCCGCTCGCCCGGAGTCTCATGTCGCCCTTTGTTTCCGGGGAACCGCTTCGTGACTGCGAAGGCGCCGGCTATAAAAAGCGACGTCGGCGCCGGTTACGCTGCCCGGCGACCTTCGCGTTTCTGTGACCACTGCTGTTTCGACGACGCCGGTGCTTCGATGCGCTTCGTATTTTTAGCATCTCACTGAGCGGCGTTGATTTTTGCGACTTCCTGCGGCGGTGAATATGTTTTCACCACAACATGTCCATTTATCTAAATTAAGTCCGAAATATATACATATATATTACTTATTCTTTATGTCTAGGTTTCGGTGCACCATCCAAGCAGACTAACTTGGCTGATTTCAGCTCTTCTGTGGGGGGTGGTCTCATTTAAACTCTTATATATTATTGAAATGAATACGATTCAATATTATTTTTTTCCATTGAGGTATACAGACCAGTAAATCAGAGCTGAACACCTTTTTTCAAGTAAGGGCTGGCGAGGGCATGAGAAAGATTGGGGGAGATGGCGACAGAACTTTTTCCTCTGTCCACTGCGCTTCGGGTTTGGAATCTCTCGATCGGCGCAGCCGGTCACGGAGGTCCCGAACGACGGCAGCGACGGCAGCCTGCGACGTGCGAGGAGAGGCACGCGCAGGCCACCAGTCACGATGCAGGAAGAGATCGGCCAGCGGCATCCGGAGCGGGATCCCGAGGCGGCATGTGCAGATCCGCGGCCCGTCGGAGGGTGGCGGGGGAAGGGGGCAGCGGGAGCCCCACCGCGCGCGAGAGTTAGCACATTTGGCTGATGATTTGCCATCATTGTGGACCCGCGGAATGGAATCCACAACCCCAAATGGAATCCACAACGCCTTTTGCCCCCGGTCCGCTGCCATCACTGTGACGACGACGGACGTGCCAGCGAGGACGGCACCAAGCGCCATGATGCCTCCCCGGTGCCCCTCATCTCACCGCCGGCACTCGTTCGGGGGTTCGCCCAGCCCCTGCCCCCGCCCTTCGCAACGTGTGATGCTTTACGTCGGCGGTAATCCACCTCAAAGAATCCGTGGACGTTAGGATCCGCCCCCACGACCCCGAGGCGTCGAGACTAGGACATTCTTTAGGCTTTGCGTTCGTGATTAGAGCCCGAGGATTGCCGCGGACGCGATTCGGCCACCAGCTCGGTAGCATTGCAACGAACCGAAATCATAGTTTAATGCGTGCGCTCGATCACGCGGGCGGAAACGCTTTTCTTGTTTCGTGCAGGAGTCTAAACCTACATCGCCCGCGGAGAGTCCGGTTGGGCTCGGCCTCACCAAACCGGAGCCGGCGATGTTTTCCATGACGCGCGCGAATCTGCATCGGGTGAGTTTCGGTGGTAAGCTTTTCAGCCGCAGTGCGAGAATGTCTTGTGCTCGGACGGATGGCGCAAAACGAAGCGCAGCTTCTGAGGTTCATAGATGAGGTGCCGGCCGATCCACATGGAAATCGAGATGTCCGTGAGCACAGCAGTTCGGCAGGGCATGTGCCACTTTCGGCATGTGTTTTGGATCTATGCGCTTTGGTGACGCGGTCGACGAGTCGCGAAACCCACAGCTCTGACTTTCGCGATCCTCTGAGATATTATCAACGACACCCTCTGTCAGCTTCGGGTCCCTCTAATATTTTTAATTCGAGATCGATCGAACGCGGGCTCTGGCCTACACAGAGCTAAATGCAAAGAATTCTATCCTCGGGAATCTTTAATTTTTCTGTTCGGCTCCCCGCGAGCCTATCTTCTTCTCTTCCGTGATGAAATTGGAGAGCTGCCTTTGGCTCCTCGAGGCGGGAGGTGAGAACACATTTTAGCTCACGAAGAAATAGAGCCCGAGACGGTTCTCGGCCTCTCCGACGTCACGGTTCCACGACCGAGACCACTGCGACGCAGAAGCGCCTCGTCGCGGGGGCGGAAACCGTCAGCGGCTGCCGGCGAGTCATAAGCCCCGAAACCGCACGCCTCTTTGGGGCCTATCGTCGCCGGCTATCTTCGACCCGCCCCCAGCTGAAGCCCGGCGGGGAAGCACCCGCTGGGCCAAGTCGAACCCCGGGGGGCAAGAGGATTTCGCCCTCGCTCACACGGAGGGCGTCCGCTGCTCGAGGAGACAAGCGCATCGCGACACGACGACGATGGAGGGAGTGCAGGGGGTTGGGTCTATTGACCTTTCGTCGTACCACTCGCTGTCTCCTAGCCCCGTACCCCCATGGGGCCTAGAGCCTAGGTCAAAGCACCTGGACATCATCCGGTCGCCCATGGCGACCGAAATGTCACGGCACGTCGACGGTGGCAAGAGGGCCCTGCAACGGGACGTCGGGAGTACTTGGCACTCGCTACGGGGTCCGGACTCCCGGCACGGAACCACCGCGCCACTGTACGATGCCGGTACGAATTGCACACGTGGGTGGCTCGAGTGGGACCGCCGGTCAGATAGGGGAGACCGTGCGGACCGTGGGGCGTGCATTCTTCAAAATTGCGGGGGCTGGGGGTATATCCCCAAGGACAAGAGCCAGTTCCAGCGCTAATTTGGCGAGTAAGGGGGGGAGAGGGGGGGGAGGGGTAAAGCATGGCAAGGGGGAGGTTGGAGAGGGGGAGGCAAGCGGAGGTGTCGGCTGGCTGAAAAAGTGGAGCGTAAATTTGGACGGGGCCAGTGGCAGAAGGGGGACAAGGCTGGCCTCGGGCCAAAAGTTCGTTCACTGTAGGAATATCACGCGAGAAGGAAGTCACGAATCGAGAGCGAGGCGCTCTCGCTCTCGTACTGGCCGGGGATCCAGCAGCGTTACAGCATGACCTTCATGGGCTTGACATTCGTGGAGTGGGGGCACTCAGGAGGCAGCCGGAACTCGGACTCGGGGTCAACCCGGTTGTCTACGTTCGCGCATTCTAGATCCCGTCCTTGCACTGACACCGGTACTGTGCTGTACCCGATCCGCATTTGTAATCACCAGCTGCTCGTTCGAGTCCCTGGCCAGTGGCAGGCAGGCGGTGGAACTACGAGCGTCGACTTGGTGGTGAGAATTTCCGAGCTTTCGAGCACTATGGCAGACTGAGCAGAGATTTCGGCACAGTAATGAACTTGCTCGACTGTCGATCGAGGATCCAACCGGTGGCTCATCAGCTGCCGAGCGTTTCTGCATCTGGCCAGGCGATCTGACTATCTATATCCATGCCTATTGTGGGGTGGCGGTGGAAGACGCAGCTGCGAAGCATTGGGGCGTGAAGGATCTGCGAAGATGTCCTTCGCAGACCCACCGAAACACGACGTCCTCTGCCTGCCTCCGCCCTCACTTCCAGCACCGTAGACGAAGGAAGCGTGCGTCTGTTGATTCGTCGAGCCTGCGGGGTCGCCATTCTCGCTCTGAAGCAAACCACCCGTCCACAACCTGCGGCCCTGTACAACGACAAGGATATTACCATCACCAGGGTTTGGAGTGGGTTACCCACATCTCGAGATTTTACCAACTGCAACCTATAAACCAGATACGGGAAGACTCGTAAATTCGATCCTCCAACCTAAAACTATTCGACCAGAGCATCTTGGACTGTGGATCGCATAATATCAACGAAGTGTCGGTTCCACGCCTTAGTTGGTAAAATTGTTCCAGATCATGATGGAGATAATTGAATGTCTAATCTGCGAGTCTCAGGTAACATAATCCCGACCCTACCACTTTCTCTGGTCGGGAATCGAAAGATGTGTGTTGGTGAAGGAGTCTCTGGAATGTGGGCGAAGACTGATGTCCAATTATAGGAAGGATAAGAAAGCTGTCCTGGCATACGACAGAATGACATCGTCAGATGTTCCAAGGCAAGTTAAGAACCAGAAGTTAAGAGCGCTATTTTAAGAGTGGGAACGGCATTATCGAGTTCAATATGTCTGACAGTTGCAGACTTTCCATTTTTGCACATTCTGACGCGGCGGTACGAGGCCGTGTTTCCATGCCGCATTCTGTACCAGGATGCATCATCGACCTGGCGAATGCTTTGACACGACGACTTCATGTGACACTCTGATGGCAGCCAAATTAAGAAGAGACATGTGGCACAACTTCAATAGGCACGCAGGGGACTGAGATGTTCTGATTAAGGTGACATTTCCAGCAACTTCATTACAAAAATTGTGTGCCAGACCCAGCTCCCAGGATGGAATATCATCCTCACTAGGCCGTAAAGCAAGCTTATGGTCACTTGCTAGGTCAAGATATCCGTAAAAAATCTTAGCCGACAGCAGGCACCTAATTATTCACATCTACAATGCTCCACAAGAAACAGCCCATCCATAATGAGCAGACGACTGGTTCTTGGGAAAGTTGCAATTGAGCCTGTATAACAAGCTGTTCAGCCACAATCTGACCCAACTCGTCCCTACGTCGATGCCTCCTCTTTGATTACCACCACGTCGTCGGAAGTCGAAGATAAGTCCTCAAAGAGTTGAACTAGGAAATCCTATTCGCGAAGCATACTGTACTCGAGGCCTCTTTCTAAAGTTCCAACGCTGTCATCCATCAAAACCCGCCGCGGGTATTTGTGACAAACCACTATGATCAGGTTCGTCGAAAGAGGAGACAGCAGCACAGCCAGTGTTGACCCTACGATCAAATGGCCGATAATATCTACAAGGATGTTCGAAATTCACATGAAATAGCTAAGAGTGGTCTTTTTTCGCGTGCCCCCTTCTCCATACTGTTCATTCCACTGTTGGAGCTCCATCATACTTCCAGCGTCTGAAGCAACACTTGACCTCACCTGTTGCACAATCCCAGGTTCTGTTTAGAACTTCTCTGAGCAGGCATCTTAAGATTCTTATGTACACAAGTAGCAATATTATGGAAACAGATTTTCTTTGTTGTGCACAATCAAAATCTTAACAACTGACCTTCTCCATAGCCTGACGCATATCTGCCATGGTCAATGGACGAATGTAGGGCGTTACTCCCGCCTCCGCTTTAGGCAACTCAATGCCCTCCTCCTTGGCCTTCTCCTTGTCCTGCTCATCTCGAAAAATATTAGAGTGCACCCAAAGAGGAGTGTCCACAAAAGGAGGAACATAATAATAAGAACAAACACTACCAAGTTGCTCTAGTCCATGCAGGTACTAGTAAGAGAAACTTGGAGGAAATGCATTGAGGTCGAAAGATAACGTTTGGGCTGAGTTATGGAAAGTGTAAAACGTGTGGCAGACAGACGAGAACGGACGGTAAGTAGAACAAATTGTCCTCAACAAGGATGCGTAAAGAGTTGAAAAATCTTGTAAATCCGCCTTCACTCTAAGCCAGATGCTCGAAAAGACGTTTATACCTTTTTCTCCTTGTCTAAAAGTTCTCGTATCCGTCTGTAGGCAGCGGTTGTACATAAACTCTGTCAAGCATCGGAACGAAGATCAGCGTCTTGAGAAACTACCAGTGTGAGCCTTGTGCGGATTGCAACTGGATATAAAACACAATATCAGATTCTCGTTCTATTCCTGATGTGTCCACTGCGACTTTGAACCCAAACCCAAATGAAATACTACAGACATTCGTGTACTTCTTTCATAATTTTCATGTCCACATTGCTGCTATAATTCTCAGTCGTTTGTTCGTGCAAATGAATAAAAAAAAATTAGACTAGTATTACCTTTAAATCACTACCCGAATAGCCATCTGTAGCGGCTGCCAATTCATCTGTATTAAAATCAGGCGATACGTCCTCCTCAGCAAGTATGACCTTCAAGATTTTAGACCTATTATCTGCATCTGGAAGATCTATCATCAATCTGCATACAACCAAAATATCAAATATCAGTAGTCTAAACAAGATCCTGCTGAAATAAAAAAGTGGTGATCATGATCATATCGGTCGCAAAAATAAAAGCTAAGTAAATCCAGTGCTTGAACTATACAAGCAAACGATGACACGTACGCCGAACGTCCATCACGAACAGGTACGTTGTCTAGCTCCTCAATTATACACTATCATACGACCAAATGCACAAACCCGTTGATCCTCGCGGATGTTCAGATTTCGTGAGATTTGCTCTTAAGACGAAATAGTTTAATCCTGGCATGAACTATCTCACTAGGAACATGAGGAGTAATCTCAGTGTACACAGCAACTTCTCTCTCCAGTGATATCGCGTAAACTGTGAGGGCTGTTTATGAGATTCCAAAGTTGATCATCTATTTCGGCAAACAACCTGGTATATTTGAAAGTGAGACAAGAAGGTAACGCACCTCCGAGGGAATCTTCTGATCACAGCTTCGTCAAGATCGAAAGGTCGATTTGTAGCTGCTAAGACCAATACTCTTTCTTTCTCTCTGGTTCGCAGTCCATCCCAGCTAGCCATGAACTCGTTCTTTAATTTTCGCATGGCCGAATGTTCAGTATCTTTACCTCTGCGCCCCAGCATGCTGTCCACCTTCATAAATGGTTACAAAAGCCAACTTACTGACATCAGTCCGTGATAAGGACAAGTTGAAATTTACAAATAAGATAATACATGATCAGCCGCACGGCATAGAATGCAGACATTTACAGAAAAAATAGACAAGAGTGAATTTTCTACACTTGAACCCAGAAAGATCTCTAAATTCTGCAAGCTTCATATATTCAGAAGTCATCAGATTCCGGTTACCACTCGAGAGACTTCCCAGTAGCAAATAGGCGATCTTACTGCATACCTCTTGAAGACTAGTCGATCGCATAGCTAAAACTTTTTGAACGATAAGACACCGAAATCATTACATGCCAGTAGGATATAGTGAATGAGCAAACGCTGAAGAAAAATACCTCGTCGATAAAAATGACACTCGGTGATATCTTGCTTGCAAGGGTGAATACAGCTTTGACGTATTTCTCAGCTTCCCCGAACCACTGAGGCACAGGAGAGATTATCTTGAGACTAAGTACAATGTGAGAGTTGTCAATCACAAAAACAGCGCAGAACTATTACAGAGCAGAAACTGAGACACGTTTAAGCGAAGATAATGTTTGTTCATCTGGACCTTCGATGCAATAGTCGACATTGAGATGTTGATGAAGTTTGCTCCAGCTTCTGTGGCCACTGCCTTTGCCAGCATTGTTTTGCCCGTACCAGGTGGGCCGAAGAGAAGCAGTCCTCTACAGGGCTGCATTGGAAACACTCAACTTGTCATTCCAGATCCAAGGTAGGCCTGCCGTTAGATTTGTAGCAGAAAAATCGAATGGCCAGCTAAATTTGGTAACATGAAAGCAAAAGCTCTCAAGCAATACATCTCGCTGTACCAACTGTCCAGAAAGAGACAGAAACCTTCATCACCTCCTTAAGTGCCCCTCCCAGATACCTCTCTAACAGATAAGAGCCTCACACAGATGACTTTACACAAAGAACATTGACTGCTGATTTGAATTTGTCTGCTGCCAGAATCAAACATGTTAAATAAGAAGATAACTTGAAAACGCTCAGTTATTCTTCGAACGTTAAAAATGAGGTTCATGCCGGATAACATCTCTATGGTAATAGCAATAGAAAAAGTGTTTTGTTTACCTTGGTCAACTGCCCTTTCACAAACAGCTCTGGTCTCTGAAGAGGGAGCATTACCAACTCTCGGAGAGTTTCCTTCACATTCTCAAGAGCTCCAATATGATCAAACGTTACTCCAAGCTCATCTGGTGGAATTACCTCCGGCAACAGCATTTTCTCAAACTCGTTGTCACATGTCACATCCTGAAAAATATAACTTAATGTCTCAGGCAACTGTCTACTTTATAATCAAACACATAGCAAAGGTCTTTGACTAAAGGTGCATTTAACCAAAGACAGGCACGCCGTAAAAAGCTCCAACTAATCTACTTTAAGAGAAAAACTTAGATCAATCTATACGGGCTGTTTGAAAACCCAGTTTACTCATCTGGGATCACCTTTAAGGTTTTCTTCTTAGTGGTAGCGCCCCGCTGAAGCGATTGAATTTCTGTGAGGCTGTGCTGCAAACTGCTCAAGGGGTCCCCAAAAAGTTGCGTTCCCAATACAAAAAATTAGGACAATGTCAAATTCCTTCAACGGCAGAATGGATTCTTCAGCAGATAGAAAGACTTAGAGTCAAATCTTTTCCCTGGTTGTCAACAGCAGAGATCGTATTTCCTTCGAGTCTATATAGAGAAGAGGGACTGAAGATGCAAAATTTGCGAACATATTACCTCTCGGGTCCAATAACAAGTTTCCCGTTCTGAAGAACAGGCTCAGGATGTGTTTGCAGGTGATGGCTAATACCCCAGCCTACAACTTTTTCTGACACTGTTGAGATAACAAATACATATCAATATCCCTTTCCAACTAAAAGGAAACAGAGGCGGATAAGTATACATTCTTAGACATTCTTGGCCAATGAGCAGACTGAACACATTACGTAAACTTCCATGCATCACAATACAAGTTCGGTAATTACAAGGCTACGCTCGACAGTTCACATTGCAGGATAACAGTTGATTAGCTCAGGAACATTAAGGGAACAGCAAAGGCAAGAATTCCTGACAACATTAGGCAGTCCAAGTATAGAATGCGTAAAGGGGTGTGAGACATTTAAAATCGTACAGAAATGACCTATTAAACAATGAACATAATAAATACTTTCAAATGGGGCTTGAGGGATGTCCGTACTATCATGCGTCAAAATATGTGTTCGGATATCGATACTCGAAAGATCACTACATTCAACGCTTGATGCTCCCATAACCTGAGAAGAAGAACTCAGTCAAATACAGTTCGTAAAGGATATTGATGCTCACAGATTAACCAAGCAAAACTGTGTCTAATCACCAACATGAACCAAAACTATTGAATGAAGATTAAGGTCGATTACAGTTCCTTGACGGTCCAGATCAGAACAAGGCAGAAAACTCAATGCATGAGAAGTCAAAAGTGAAGGAGATAAACCATGCGCAGGTGTTGCCTGTTAGCTTCGGCCTTTAATTTCTCTGTGTCTTGCTCTAATTGGCGATTCCACTCGATTAACAGAGTCTCATCCTGGCAAATGATAAGATTCAGTCACGTCAAGTGCACGTGATTAGCAAGTCTAAGAACCAGGATAGCACATTGTAAAACTATTATATCTGATATGTTGTCTAGTTGAAACCGAAATGTCATTATCGCGAAAAAATTATTCTAAGACAGATTCGTACATGACTTTGACACATCCATATCAGATATTTAAGTCACGAAAATGAAAAATTCATAAATTAGATGCGAATAATTGAACAACGCGGTGTCACTACTCGAGACCGAAGTAAACATAAGATCGCAGTCAAAAAATGTAGCTGTCACCTGTGGAGGTTGGAGTTGTAGTTTAGTTGGAAACAGTTTCACAAGCATCTTCGATGCCTTTGGTCCATCTCCCTTGTAATCCTCCATGCGGGAAGCAAGATGATCCTGTTGATGAAGCATCCGGTTAGACCCTTCCTATTCATTCTTACTTAGCAACCAGAAAAAAGTAATAAGTGATGTTCAACGTCCAAGCAGGGTGATCTCCCTTCAAGTCACTATAATATCATTACAATCATATTACTACATAATCATATGAAAAACCATATCTACATGTCATAGAAATGTCCATACATTCCACACACAAGCCTATGGTTAAAAAGATGTGACTTTTTTTGTGACTGCGTTTTAAACTTTTCGCGGGTAGCAGAAGACTTACTAGGAAAGAGAGATCCAATAAAGCAGTGAAATTATTTCCCAGCTTCGTTGAGGCAGAAGATCCAGAGCTGCCCTGAACAATCATCCCAAGCTCAAAGTTTAAAAATACAAACTTTCATTCAATTATGAGATTTGTAGAAGTCAATAAAAACTCACTGATTAGATCACCTTACAGAAAACGATGATCCACAACAGCACAAATCTTTCACAAAAGCCATGAAGAGCAGATTACAGCAAAGGCCATACCTTTTCTTTCTGCTGATCTGAGGTATGTGATCCAACAACGACAAGCCTGGCATCAGTCCTTTCAAGTCGCTCCAACTTCATGTAACGCTCAAAGTTTCCAATGATTGACTTCTCGACATTTCTTATGAAAAGAACAAGTGGTTCCTTTGAAGCCTCAGCAAGCAACACCTAAACAATACACTCAAGATAAGATTCATAGTTATGATCAGACTGTAAGCCTTCATACGAGTGATGGAGAAGTTCGTCCAGTGAAAACTACACCAACAACCAATGATATTCAATAACTCTCCACCTACCGAAAAGATCAAGAACGGTCGGCATATTTCTCTTTTTTATGAAACATGTCACGTCATACTCATTGAATTCGAAACAGCAGCAACAGCTTCAGCACTTAGTTCGTGTAATACCTCTAAAAGGGAATCCAACACGAGTTTATCGGCATCCTCCCCAATAGAATGCTCCAAACGAAGCTCTGTCACTGCATGAGAGATTTGTTGGCAGCTGTCAAGCAAGCAACAAAAAATGTCCCTGAGCACACCTAAAATCTGCTCTTCCACAGACTCATCATTGTGCTTACTACCAAACAAATAAGTACTCATGGACAGAGTGCTTTCTCGATTCACAACCCTCAGGATAAGTATTTGCCCCTCGCTTGTGTGTCTAAGTAGGCTCTGTCATAGGTCTGTCAATACTCTAGAATAGTAAACAATTTAACATTGTACAATGTTCGTGATGAGATTCTAATGACATGGGCCTCAACAAAATCGAGCATCAAACGCTCAAGAAAGGGATTTGGATCAAGTTGACGACAGGATCATACCATTGCAGAAAAAACCGTGTCCATCTTCACAAAGATCAACTAAATTGTTCCCACCGTAAACTGGCTTGTCAAAACGAACTCCAACTTTGTTGGGGTTTTCCTCGAACATAACCAATACTCGACCTCTGGCTCCCACCGAAGGCCCACCCCTTAACGATGCAAGACATTTGACAAGAAACACATATTTAGCCAAACATTAAGACAAAGTCAGACTACCAAGCAAAGAGCACTTTACGGCGAACTTCAAATACAATCAAGTTACCTAAGTAAAGGTGCAATAGATGTACAACGAGCAGAAAGAAAAATAAGACAATTGGAAGCGCATACTGGTGACAGCTGACTGCACTGGCCAAAGTTGAGGGCAACTTACCCAGACGTCACACTGTGATTTAGGACAACTACACCTCCAGCTGCACCCGCACCAGCGCCTACAAACTTCACACGATCACCTTCACGAGAAACACAGTAACGGTCGCTGCATCTGTCAGTATGCTATGATTTGCCCAACAACATTAAGAAGCTTCAAAACATGCACACAACTTATCTACGCCATGTTGTTTGTGTGCTAAAGACAATTCATGAGTAAGATTCAAAACAATATAATGCTACAGCTGGAATCGAAGTCACAAAAAAGCCGTTCCCTTCTTCTGCAAATACACAGGATAGTCAAATGAAAGACCTTCAGTAGGGCATGACAGTGATTCTTAAACATGAACAAGTAAACACAAAATCTGAGTGATTAAATCCAATCAACATTCTTTCGTGATTCAAGAACTGACCTTTCTTCAAAACGCGCCGAGTTTCTACAGCAGTCGAAGTCGAGGTAGCTGTGGCAGCTGTAGCAGCTGCTGCAACGGCGGTGACCAATGATTTAGTGTCAAGACTGGTTTCTCCCTTTCCTTTCCCACGCAACTGAGAAATTGGTCCCAATCCTACTGATTCTGCATCAGTATCTTTCGACCGAGTGGAGGAAGAAGTAGTTCTCAGAGATTTCACGCTCTCTGGCCTTGCATCCGTAGAAGGTGTCTGACTTTCAACGCTTCCCTGTGGAGACCACACTCAACAGCTTTAAAAACACTGCATCCTTCGAGTGCACATTGTACAGTTTTATGGTAGCAAACTGCTCATATGAGGATTTTGTATTAAAAGTCATGTTCAGAAGAGTTGTAGATACCGAATAGCCAGTCATAAATTATCACTAAAACATTCCACGATTCAAATACGAAGCGGCTTTTGAGGCATGCTGTATTCCACCGCATCTGATGGAGGGAATTTTCAAAGTAACACTCCAAGGGAATAATACCAGAATTTGTGCAGAAGAGGAATTTCAACAAACAATGTCACACAGGATAATATCCATACTCCAAGCCATAAAAAATTATAAATGCAGGATTAAAGACGACACGAAGACCAAGACAAAAGCCGATTATCCGGTTCACATTCGAATGCCGAAACGAAAATCGTTCAACAGTACATCCGTCAAATTAACGAAACAGGATACAACAATCTGCCACACTGCGTGTATGGACTGAGGTTGTGAAGTGACTGCCAGTTTAGTGGCATCCGCAATCCCAGTTTCGATACTTCACGTAGATACTCGAACTTAAAATCACGACCATGAAGTTGATAAGTATCGAAAGGAATGATCTTGAGCTCATACCACCTCGTTCAACTGGCCAGTAGAGACATCCATGGGCTCCACAGGAGCATCAGTTGAGTGCTGATTTGCAGCAGAAGTGTCCTCCGACACCCGCTCCAAACTTCCAGGGACGGATTCACTTGCCTACATAAACAGACCAGTCATATTGTGACTATTTGCGAATCTTCTTTGTGAGACTAAATGGCAACTCTCAGAAGAGTTCCATAGGATGGAGAACACGTACATTCAACCACATGTACATTTGACGACATCAACACTTTACATGCTTAAACGCAAACACAAAGGAAATACATGGAAAAATACGAAAAAAATTGCGTTTCTAGTTGTCTTCCACAACTACCACAGACTCTTCATGCATGAGTCGTTTCCTACTCACAACATTCAAAAATGCTTGAAGCTCAAGAACCCCTTCAGATAAATGTGAACTTCAACGTGACATAATACATCAGTCTTGAAATAAGAGAACTCAAGGAACAATATCAGGTCAAATATAAGTCCCTCTTGGACAAATCAAAATTACCGCAGGCCCGGAAAATATAACTGTGGCGGGAATGTCAACAATGCTGACTTAATAATAAAATTAAGGTGAAATCGTAATGGTCAGCATGCGGGGCAAACTCCGCCTAAAAGTGTGACTTAATCTCTGTCCAGCATGTTGTAACTGCAAAGTCATGACATCTTATCATATCGTTACAAAGGCTGAGATAGTTTCCTTACTTCTAGAAATACTCTCGTGCTGTCGAAGATAAGTAGGTTGACTTGCAAGTGGTGAGCCAACCCCTTCACCAGCTGTTCTTGATAAATTTCGGATCCTATAACAAGTCAGATGCATATCAAAGCTTGATACTTAATTGCTCATTGATTGAAGAAGATTTGGAATGCAAATTTCTACAGAAGATAAGAACTTGATAGATGAATTCGAAAAGTAGTCATCAAGAGATCTCACATGCTTGACCTGCCCTGAGTGCCCCATGAAAGTAAAATGTCATCAGTGTAGGCAAAATCTCGGAGGTTCAGCAAAATCTGGAAGCTGTATACACACCTGGAGGACCTGTAAGTAGGATTCGCGGACTGACGGATGCTAAATCTGAAGTATATTTGGTGAACTCCGGTCGCTTGAGATAGACAAACATTGAATCCAGAAGGGCAGATTTTGTGCTTTCGCTACACAAAGAAAAATGGTGTGAGTATACCTCATAGAGTAGTAAAGGACAAACGGAGACAATTAGATTTGCAACGTAGTCAAAATCAAAGATGTAACTACTAACTAAAAGCAAATCAAAGCAAGTCTATGATCAACCAAAGTAGCTATGATCAACCAATGTACCAAAAGAGCTTCAAAGCCAAGAAGCATCAACTAAGCGAGACGGAAAGGTAGAACCAATCATAACAACTTCCACATTGCGATACAAGACGAAGTGGCAAACATTGCCGTCTGTGCAATGCCTAGATTCTTACTTAATGAAATAAGGGAATTCGTCCAAATTGACATCAATATCTTTCCAGTTTGTGAGCCCCTTCCGTATGGCGTCCTTGTATGCTTGCCCTTCTTTGGGTTTGCTGGAAGTTCGTTTAGCTTTATCAGACTTGTGGCGATGCCTGTGTTCTCGGTGTTCTTTCTTCCTTTTGGACCGCAATGCAGTAAAAGCTGCCCCAAAAGCGTAAGGAAAAGCAGCCGCCGTTACAGCCGCTGCAGTCCCAGCTGCTACTCCGGCTGCCACTGCCAGAGTAACCCACAATGCTCGATCCATATTTCCCTCCATTTGTCAACACTGGCCACACCACGAATTACAGAATTAGCTAAATGTCAAGCTTCCACAGAGCATACTAACAATTCAAATATGGAACGGAAGACCCCAAAAGAGCAAGGACAAACCAGGCAAGTTTCCAACTTAAAAGAACAGTAGCTACTGGATGTCGATCAGCAAAAGCCAAACCATAATATTCAAAGTGAGCGGCGTTGTACCCGAGCGCAAATCTTCTCGTACTACAACATGACACCAAAATGGGATCCATGCTAACGTAAACAGTGGATAAATACAAATCCATGCAAAACAACCACATATGCATGCTGATATATATGTTTAAAACCTTCAAACTCCACATGATGAAAGCTTATGAATCTATGATATTTGACGGAAGAAACCTCCTGTGGACTCCCCGGGCGCAATCATGCAAGATGGCGCAAACTGTTGACTCCAACTATAAACGTTCCTATCCTGCTTGTAAACATGTTTCTAGTAAGCACATGAAAGTACTGTCCCCGAGTATGGGTAAGTATATGGCGGTTGGTTTCCGAAACAAAAACAGAGCTAATTGGATCGTTCTAAGAAAAAGGGAATTCATTTCCTTCCCTGACGTTCGAGAGCTAATACTCTTTGAAAAAACAAGTGTATTCAAAATTCAAGAAGAGCTGAAAATTCTCACCCACGACAAAGTTATTCCAGATTTTTAGTACCAAAGAGATATTTGAGACCCAATACACAAACGGGAATGCATGTGATTGGGCCCTTTACGAGGCTGCACTGACAGAAATTGTACAAATCTGTTCCAAGGCCAAGAGGAAGTGATAGCGAGATGGATATTAGTCAAAGAACAAAGAATAACCAAAAGAGATTTCCTAATGAGATTATCTTATGCTTGGATTAAGATAGTGGAGAACTCTTCTTCAGTTTTTTAAAGTGGTAAAACGAATTCCGTCTTAAGACATCACGTGAGTCTTCAATGGTCCAATTCGCAATACTCCGTAAATTTGATGGGCGACCCTTGACAGAGTGAAGATGATGGGCAGAAGAACTGCCAGAAATTGAGAAATCTGAAAGTTTCGAAAAACTAACTCAAAGATGAATACAACAAACGCAACCTGACCTAAGGAGCCATGGAGACATCCAGGGTCCATGTGAAGGTTAAAATAGAGAAGTAGCGCTTCACAAAATCAGTAAATACGCCTCATTAACCTGATTAATGTGTAGGTATCAGGGAACCCTGGATTAGATGGGCGACAGAATATAATCCCACTCTTAGAAATGCTAATAAGCCAGTTTGAATGGACACAAGTCAGCTGTTTTCTGCTTGCAAAGCAATCTTTTGAGGCTGTCATCCAGAATCCTTAGTTTATCCTCCTTGGCAATATATACTATGGCGACAATGGCAACGAGTAACCATCACAATAAACAACAAATTACGATCTGCATGTCCCACCTCTTACAGTGGAAAAGAGGAGAGACGAGGTGTACAACTTAATCAGATGTCAACTCCGGTTTCCAGGTTTCTTGTCCATCCTCTATAGAACAGCAAATGGCTCCTTCCACACTGCATAAATGCCGTTGAATCGAAAGGTAGGAGTGGGTTCAGCGAGAGACTACAAGAATCATGAATTGCTGCTGAATCAAATAGAAAGAAAATAAAAAACCTCCAGCGATGTTAGTGGGCTCCGAACTTTCCTGAATTTGCTGATAGGTGAAAGATCAAGAGACCTGACCATTGATCACCTTCATTATGATGTCACCTTCATTATCAGATCATGGACTACCAGACTGTATGCTTTCTACTACAGCAGCTCACACGAATTTCCAGTAAGCTGATCCAGTGAGAAACTAACCCACAGCTAGGCGAAAAACCCGTTGTAATTTTGAATTTTCTCTTGTCGTACTTTAAAGATTCCCTGCTCTCGTCGTAATCTGCTTCGATTATGCCGTTTGACCAGAAACCAGGGCACGGGTAGTTCAGATATTGATTGTGCCACCAGATGAGCATAACAAGATTTGGATAGAGTTCCGAGTCGCAATCTGGAAGTTCCTGGCAAGGATGCCACCGCCCTACTTCTGACCAGGACAGCTCAAGTTCAATCTATCCGGCTTTCGATTTAAATTGTTCGAGATAACTCCTGCGCCAGCCGATCTGAAGGATATCAATTGACGCAAGCCTGCTCACTTGAAAGATGAAGTACTTCAGTACACAGTGGATCGACGACAGTAGGTCAACAATACGGCCGAATACGTGTCAGCCCAACAGACGTGGTTCCAATCGCTTTTAGCCACAGTCTCTTAGTAACAACTGTGCGTATCTCTTTCATCTTCAGGAGAAGAGCTGAGAGGACACAGAAGAGCTCAATATTCAGTTGCGCTAAATTAAGAGTCTCGTGACCGGTCCAAGTCGCCAGGAGAAAACAAACGCCACCGATGGGAGCTCTGCGGAGATTCCATAATTGGCAAGCAAGGCCGAATTCCCCACCACCACCACCCTACGGACGACTGACGACGCAGAAGCCGATCGCTGCCATCGACCTCGACGTCAATTCCTCCGCAGGTCAGAGGGCCATCGAGTCACGAGAATCACAGTGCTCTGCACGTGTTCTCGATCTCATTCTGCGCTCCCCGATCGCACTCGAGTTCGAACTCTCGGAGCACGGCAAGACACGCAACCCGTGTTCGACGTGATGCGCGCTAGATAAGCTGACAAAACCCACTGCCCCTAGGGTCGTCCTCGTCCTCGTCCTCGTCGTATCGGACGTTGCTTGGCCAAACAGCTCTCGCCTTAGGGTTCCCGCAGCGGATACCTCCAAGATCGTTCGGAATACCAGCGTCGCGCCCGAAACAAGCGAACTGGCGCCCACAGTGGAATGACAGAAGGCAGTACGAAACTACATGGAATTGTTGTTGCAGGCCCCGTCAGCTCTCGCGAGCCCTTTTTCTCCTCCCCCCGCCCTCGGCTCCCATTTCTCTCCCCTTCTCTTCCCCGGGCTTCAGTGAGTCGCGAGCCCTTGACGCGTCGCTTCCGCGCCGATCGAGGGAGCAGCTTGTGGCATCGGCCGAGCCAACACGAGCCGAGCGAATCGAATCCCTCGCTCGCTCTCTTTCTCTTTCTTTTTCTCTTGGAGATGGTGCACAAGTCGTTCGGTTCAAAGAAAGAAAGACTCGGAGAAGACCACGACACAGTTGCTGCTGCACACGATGCTTCCTTCTTCGTTATGCCTGCCATTTTTTTATCCTTCTTTATATACATGCCTGCGCCTATTCTCTATTCTCTATTCTCGGGGGATGTATGATGCATCATATCATATTCGATCATGACTTTACGTTTCCACTCTGCTCGTTTCGTTGGACAACGAAATTGGAACGATGCGTTGAAAGTGAGAGATTCCTCCGTAATCTCATCAGATGCTAGTGTTCTTCTCGTATCGAACACTCCTTGCTCCTATGGCCTCCTTGCTCTACATGATTTCTACTTCAGTTTGTTAGTTGAGCCGTGTTCACACATCATCTCCCACAATCCATTCATCCTTTGTAAATCTTTCAATCACCCTTATTTAAGGCTTAGTTTATGCTCTTGTCCGAGCGAGGTTTCATGCTTTTGAATCTTGACTTGACAATTGATCATGATTTACTACTATCATCATGTATCTATCTACATCCATTGGATGTAGCGCCTGATGGCTGTTTATTTCCACCTTTATAAATCATATATGTAAAAAGCTATGTCAATTAGAGGATAGATATTGTTACCCATGATACTACTATGTTCGTGATTGCTTCGAATTAAAGATATACTTCTCTTTATGCAAAAGAGTTTGTTATGGAAAGTACGCATGAGAATATTCAGATGAGCTGATTACTCTCTCGTGGATGAGTGGTGAATCATGCGTTAACAGCATAAGTTTCCGAGTACATGAATATGTTTGTATTCTCTTCCTATTAAGCTCTTCATATGAAGCTATGGACGTTCAATTTCAAATGCTCGTGTCGAATTGCGTGAGAGACTCCTGTACGAACCGGCAGTATATATGAATTTATTTTAAATTTCTTGTATTCGGTGTGTATCATATTTTAGTAAATGACTGTCTATAGTTATACATAAAGCACTGACTTATGATGTACACAAAGATCGAATCACAGAATTTGATCTTGTTGTTTGTAAAATTTTCAACCCAGAACTTCGTGTATCCTAGAGATATATGAAGTACATATTATCATTATCATAAAATTCATTTCCAGTCCCATTCAATATTTGGTATATGCCTCATAGGCTGGATGGATATTTCTGGAGAGATATATCCCTTCGTCCCCTCGCTTTTTCTCCCTACTGCGCACCCGCCAGATTAAGCTCCCGACTTTTTCCGCTGTCTTGCGCGTTCGGGCCAATTTTACTTCTCGTGCATCTCACAAGAAGCTTTGCCTTCCACTTGTAAGACATAATCTCATCTCAACATAACAACACAAAACTGACCCTCTATTTCTCCTCCCTACTTGCGTCATTCAAGTCCAAACCTATCCACAACGCTTTGATCGTGTAGGCATATATATATGGAGAGGTGTTATTCAAATTTTGATTTAACCATGTATCATGCTATTACAGTTGTAAAAATAAGTGATCATTCCCCACTCTTACTCTGCGAGCAAGACTTTTTTAAATTTAATTATTTCAAAGACATACAAAGTCACGTCTATTCCCATAAGCAAAAAGAATTCTCAAACGAATTCTTGATAAACTTGTAAGGACATCTTGATATAAGTGACGAAGTAAGGCATGCAATGGATTTGGATCGAGCGTCAAGTAGGAGCGATGCCATCCATGTTAAAGCTGTCCGCTTTAACTGTTGAGCACTAGTATGTTCGAGCCTTTGAGCTCCGTGCAGTATGCGTCAGCACAATACAACACGCTGTACACTGTGTGTACAGCGTGCTGTATTGTGAGGATTAGGACAATTTGGCTGTGTACAGTACCGTGAATCCGATTCAATACGAAATAGAAATAATTTCCTTTCACTGGCAAGTCAGAAGGAGGACGAGTAAATTTATGCTTGATATCTATCTGCTATGTTTATTCAGTGCACCGTACCGTACTCTTCACAACTGTAACATTTTGAATCCATGCTGGTAAGTCCACCCTCCACGGTGGTGTGCTACTTTGCGTTGAGAGTGTGAGTTTCCAACGATTGCAGCGGTTGGAAGTCAATTTTATTCCCTTCAGGAGAAATTGACTATGAGGGAGGTACTTCTTGAAACCTGGTCAGTATGCCAGATTCGGAGGAACGACGATTTGTGAAGAAGTCAATATTCACAGCATAGCATGTTTCCAGCATGTCTTCAATTAATTAAGTAATTAATAATAGAAATAATTACGGAGTGAAGAAGTGCTCATTTTTCCTTCCTTTAATTACAATCAATATTATTTGACATGAAATGAGTGTAAGATAAGTATCGATTTTTTATATCCCTTTTATTTCATTTCAATCAAGAATTCTACCTATCACATTTTGTGTAAACTGTTACTCTATAATTAAAATATGCTTTATAAAATGTACGATTTTTGAACCATATGTATTTTTCTAGTAGAGATATCAACAAACAAAAGTTTGATGAGATAAGAAGCCAAAATATGAAGAAAGTGATGTAGAGACTTGTGATGTTAAAGGCTTACATTAGAACGAAAAATAATATTTTCGATGCAAGACGTGTGTACATTGTCTCATTGTAGCAATATGTTAATAAATTGCAATAAGGTCAAAGTATAAAAAAGTTCACACAACCATATTATAATGGCATTGGAGAGCAAATGTGAAAAGCTTTTGTTGAGTTCAAAGATAAGTGGACTTAGGACTATATCTTGAGAAAATTAGTGATATCCATAGCGGAGAGTATGTGAAAAGACTTTTATTGAGTCTTACGATATGTTGACTCATGAATACATTTTGAGAAGCTTGGTGAGAGTTTATATCGAAAAAATGTGAAAGATGTTGAGGCCAAAGACAAGTTGACATATGACTTTATCGTGAGAAAACTAGTAGGACCTAATCGATTTTAGTGTGTGAACTATCTATTATATGTTTGGCACTGGAGTAATATCCAACCAATATGATGATGCAGAAATATTTAGTTGCATTTGGCTGTACGTATCAAAATATCTTCAGCTTGTAACAAATATTTACCCGACATGCTCGAGCAGTAAGTTACAGAAGTATATGCAAATTCGATGCATTTTTCACCTAAATGAGAATATAATGAGAATATTTGATAGCCTTTTTCGATCTGCTGTACCCATAAGATACTACGTTATCGCCATCAGATCTAAGACTTTTAGATCTGATGATTTGGCCTTATATCCAACAATCTTGCACATGGATTTTGACTCTTGGATCCAAAGCTCCAAAGTGTATTGGGTCTAAATACATTTTGGAACTTGGGTCAACTTTGACCCTAAACCCTTGCCACCAACTTACTTATCATTGCATACCCCAAGCTAGTTAGTGCAGAACCGGGATGGTAACGGTACCAAAATTACTCTGTTCTCTCATAGATGTTACTCTATGCAACAGTCTATTCATTTTACTCATATGCAGCTCAAACTTTCGCTAATCCAAGATACTCATTACTGCTTGAAAGTTTTACTCCAAATTTAAAATGACTTATTAGGTTTAGCCACTAATTTCATCATACCTTCACATTCCCTATGATATTTTCATTTAAAGAATAAATATATTTAAAAATTAAATACCACATATATGAAAATTTTCATTTAAACACAAATATATTATTCTACAAAACAATATTACTCATTCATACATGAAGATGTAGGTTACTTGTTAGAATATCACAATATTTCGTTATATTGGAACTATGAGGTACAAAGTTATTTCTAAAACAATAATGGTTACACTCACACTTAAGACTTTTATTGTGGCGTATATTATGCATTTGTCAAATCAATAATTACCTATGCATGTAGATTGATGTGTTTACTTTCCACTGATCAAAACTCTTTTTTTTTTTAAATACACTTCACATCTTGAACTACATGATAGATCGTCATCATTCCTCGATATGATCATTTTCATGAGTATTCTCCAAAATGTAACTTCTTAGGGCAGTAGTGTTGTTCTTTCGCTAAAAAATTTTACTTCCTTGGGCTTGTACATGCGATATTGGTCGTAAAAACCTATGATATAAATCTATAATAAATTCCATATGCATTGTACAAAATGGAAGTTCCTGAGCCAACAATAGATTGAGTATGCTGAATTCCTTACCTAATTTATTCACGTAAATGAGATATTGAACTGAGCGAGTAGGCCATATGCAACTGTTATACTTACTTGATGCCAATAGCTACTAGCTACGGAAACATGGCTAAATACATAGGTAGTTGTTTATTTGCTGCTTGAAAAGTCAAGCTTCCTACAAATCCTAGTTTACAGTTTCTCTCACAAACATTACTTACATGGGAGGGCGTCTTTTACTTCAAGTATTCGAATCGTCCACTTCAGAACGGAACACGAAACTGGGAAATGACGTTGTAATATCCCTACACGACCATACAGAAGTTAGTACATCAGAGAGGGTGATGTATGTCTGAAAGTTTTCCAGAACTAACAGATGCCACCAAAATCATACAAAGACACGTATTCCCCCTGAACATCAGACGCATGCACAGAACGCATATACACACACAGAGATTCCAACGAATCTACCATGGTCGACCTTCCGCACGGGAAAGCATCAATGATTGTGAATTTTGTTACTGCACATACTTCAAGTAAGGAAGAGTCATGTTTCTCATTAAACTAGGGTGCTTCATGACGAGAGTTCTCCATTCGTCTTTGTCAATTTTTCCATCGTTCTTGGTATCTGCCTCCGCAAATGTCTGCACTCAAAATATTGCAAGGCAAGAAGGTTTTATTTGAAAATCTGCATCTGAGCGTTCGTCACTCTTCATCACGAAGACCATATAAACGATTCAACTGCCAATCACGCGGTATTTTAGCAAACAATTATAAATGGTTGTAAACTGGTTTTTAGTATTCAATGTCTTCAGAGAGCTATATAATATGGCTGAAGTGAAACCTTGTCAAGAATGGTCTCAATCACATCATCTGCCAGCGTCATATCCGATTCGGAAAGGAGAGCTATGAGCATCTGCTTGACCTGCCATGACAAGTGAAGAACTCAGTATCACAAAATCCTTAAAACTACAGAATGGCTGGTTTACTGATCACCGTCGCACGACTTCCAACGACTTCTCATGACGATTTTTCCCAGAAGCACATCATGATTCCCAAAACCCAAACCGAAGTAAAGTATTATTGTGTGGACTCTTCCAATCAATACGGATGTATTGATACATACAATAAATCTTAGAAAAGTCTTTACCTCCTCCCGGTTGATGAAACCAGTCCTTTTCTGGTCAAAAAGCCTGAAAGCGACTGCACTAACAAAACGACGGTTTCAGACATTTCTTATAGATATTCAACAATGAACAAAACCGCAACCTTTTTCCAACACTGCATCGTACTCACTGAGCTAGTCTTTCAATCCACACGACAATACATCTTCTCGTAAGTTCCCCTCACTTGCTGTGTCGAAAAAGAATGCAACACTAAATATTTCACCAGGAGCCGACAGGAGCCGTAAAGTTTTGACGTTCTGAAAGGGAAATGCGTCAAGGTTGGGCATTTTCGGTTACTTACATTCAATTTTGTCCTCTGGTGGAGCACTTGGATGGAAGACGCTAAGAGCTCTTACGAACTCCCCAAAGTCGATGACATTGTTTTGCTTCGTGTTGAAGAGATAAAACACCTGCACGGTCGACACTGTCACTTAAAATACGATGCTTATAGAAGTACGTGCGTACAAAACCTATGACATTTGAATTCTGATTACTCGAACTCATTGGACTCAAATCCTCGTATGCGAATGTACTGTACAAACCGTTCTCGAGATTCACCAAGCCATCCCAACTCTTACATCGTCTTTCATGAACGCAACCCTAAACGGGTTTCACTTACTTCTTAACTGTGTAGGCAACGGGTTTCACTTACTTCTTAACTGTGTAGGCAACGTAAGATGTAATCGGTTAAAAAGTTTCTCTGGGTTTCAGGTCACTTTAACTGAAAATCCTTCGAGAGTTTAATATTTCACGTAACAAATTTGCATGCTTATGAGGCAATTATTCTACTAGATAATTGCCTCATAAGACATGAAGCGAATCAGACTACCCTGAGTACAATCCCAATAGCTGTAATTAGGCTTCCATTCGCTACACAACAAGCCCAACTCTCAAACTGTAACAACCACTGCTGTTTATGACGACTAGCAAATCTGAAATAACCTAAGAAAGAACAAGTTGCTCAAATCTTCGTTGCTTACCCGATCTGCAAACAAGCTCTCTCGCTTGCTGTTCTTGAATAGCGCAAGTTGAAACTCTTCCTGTAAACATCGTTTTAATCAACTGTGACTTACTGTCGGTCCTTAGCTTCTATATCAACGAGTATATTGGTAAGAAGTATAGAATAAACATATTTACTAAAGTTTTTCTTATGCGGTTCCCAGTCTTTCAGATTTTTTTATTTCAGATTCCTAAACTAATTTTGCGGCGGTAAAAAAATTTTAGAAATAAGGGGAGAGCATATCATTGGGTGTGGCCAGTACCTTATGGATTAAACCGTCATCGACGACAGTGCTGCTAAGTTTTTTGAACAACTCGTATAGCGCCTCCACTTCGCTGACACTGACTATCAGATGCATATCACACATCAAATTCCCTATCATTCTCTCGCAAGAGCTAAGTGAATGTCAACACCATAAGTCACCCCCAAACATGCAACGAAATTTCTTTTAATGTAGATGACAGCATACGAAAATTTTTGGGAATTTATGTTGAAGTAGGTTGGAGACTTTGGGCCCTTGCGCAGAATAAGATAACCAGTAGACATAATTTCGCTCAACACTTTGAATAAAACTTAGCTTACTAGACCGATGTTGATCACCTTTTGCTCGACGAGAATCTGAACATATTTAGCCGTTTAAACACGTAGCAGGACGTGCCCTCTAGCAGCAGCAAAAGATATACACAACGTGATTTCCAGGACACCAACTCTGTTGAATAATGGTCTGTGAATAAGTGCCTGAGGCTTCCATCCACGTATGAAGTACGCTCCAAATCCGGTAAGATCGTAACATGCAAGCATTCAAGCTCTAAGTAATGATTTATTCTTCCGCGGAAATCGCTAAATTAGACTCCACCAACTTATAATAGGCAAAAGCTTCATTCGGTGTATCGCTACGTCTAATTTTCTTGCACCAAGAACTAATTGATTCCCTACACAGTTGCGGAAGGAACCTCGGCGACTCTTCCATCTTTAGTGTTCTGGATTTAGCACGGGACATTCTGCACTTAAAAGACTTTCTTATTTTGAGACTTAACAATTTCCTTATTCCCCGGCGAGTCAAACTTGAGGAGAGGTATTCGACGTTCTTCGAGGGTCCCGCAACAAGGGTCCAACACGCTCTAAACTTATTATCCAGCCTGACCTGCCAGGCGCATGATTCTCCTCATGCTCCTAGCGGATCAGAAAGCTTTACAACAATGCTCACTGTCATATTGCACTCAATTTGGTGAAAGTATGTTCCCTGCCTAAGCAACGCAGCTATGCAGCTCTGACCCTAAGCGAGGGAACTTATGCTCAACTTGACACAGTTGGGAACTCGAATGGCAATAACATATCAATTGCACACAGTTTCCTTATGATTTGTGTTACGACCAGTGAGAACGAGACAAGTGATGAGCCATCGGGTGCAAGAGAATGTGATGATCAGAGAAGACACCCATCAATGACCATTCATGCCCCTGAAGAATGAGAAATCTGCGAAATGACTATATAGGGAGCCACTTACATATTGTCTCCTGCGCAAGCGCGACGGGATCCTGGAATCCAGGCGTCTGTTTCTCTTGCTTCGAGCTGAAGCAGCCCATTATACGAGAAGTACAAACGTACACCGCGTTCTCCGAGAAAGGAAAAACACAATCAAGTGGACTGGCCGAGAGTGCGGACACTGCGACATGGTCACAACACGAATGTCCACAACAGGTTACTCGGCGGTAAAAATCACCATGCTATCGAATGGAGATAAACGTGGGGGTTGGAACGTAAACACCAAGCGATCGCACAGACTCACCTAAGTCACGATGGTAACCCTACTGATGACCATCACGCGTGGATAACGCCGAGGGTATTCTTAAATTTTCCTCGAACAAAGTGAATCTTCTTATCCGAGGAGCAATGTAAACACCGAACACTTGACTTGTGCTTGCTTGACTGTGAAGACCAGCACTGGCACACATCCAAAATCCGTACGTTGCAGCTAAAGAGTCTCTAAGTTTGTGCAAAGTAGCTCATTGATTAGCTGAGCAGAAAACTCCCACTGAAAATGATTGGTCCTCGGCGCAAGTAAAAAAGTCAACCATTTAAAAAAAAAGCTTACCGTAACTCTCGAGTGAATTCATGCATCCGAAGCACTGCTCGTTGGGCGAAACCAGAGGTCCACAACTCGGTAAAATCCTGCAACGGTCGGTTGCGGTCCCCAGTCTGATGGCCGCAGCCCGCTCACGATTCACGGACTGACGTCTGTGGCAGAAACTTAGAACTACGTACTGCAGCAAGCGTCATTCGGCCATCCAGCCGTATCTTCCTGACACCATGTCTGCACTCGACATTGCCAAGCTATATATCAACTACTCCGCGACTTTGGGGAAACTAGCTCAAATTTGAGATGAGAACCCTCACTCCCACTCCGGCTCTCGAATTTCCAGGCGAAACGCTGGTAACCTCCTGCGAGTGCTGTCAATTCCGCTGTCAAAAGATAATATCCTACCGCCGATCACTAACATTGATTCTCTACGGTAAAACCGGTTCTTTTTCCGTGTCCTCTCTACTTCGTGTCCGGAGCAACAACTTTCTCATTTCGCAAAGTGGTCTGCGTTTCTGCCTAAAACTCCTTCCCCACGTATGTGCGCGTGGCTGTGAACCCACTACCCCGTTTGCCTGCAATGCGTAAATTGTCGCAGTTCGACAGAGTGCGTTGGTTTCCTTGCTGACATCCGTCCCCCTGAGCAAGCCCAGGTCCAGCAACGCGCAAATCAAGTTATCCAACCGGGCACTCTTGCAGCGAGCGGAGGGAAGGCCGGAGGAAAGAGGCAAGGATGCAAGGAAGCAGCTGCAAACCGACTCGATGTCGGATGCCTACCAAAATCACAACAAATCAGCATTGCTAATCGGACTGGCTTGCTTCACCGCCGGCCTTCCCATCCAAACACGATGAAGTCCAGAACGAATTGTGGAGCACTGTCCAGTGCACACATAAAACTCTCTCGATCGACCTCGTCGGCATCGCCACTCGAATCGAAAAACCAAAAAACAAAACGAAATTCTTCGATCCTTTGCTGCAATCGCCAGCGAAATCCGCGTCTCGGTCCGGCCCCGGCCAAACGCCCTGCGCTGGGCGCTCGATCCCTCCTCCTCGGACCAGCGACAACAAGATGTCGGATCGAGCCCGACGTCGGGCCCACGGCTGCTCCTCCTCCTGCTCGTCGAGACCAGAGTCCGCATCGCACTCTGAGCAGAAGCACGCCGTTCGACCTCGGACTTCGTCATTCGCTCTGGACTTCTCCGGGTCCACGTCTCCGGGTCCACGTGGATGCTAGTCAATGCCTTGTGTTACGTGGCATTCTGACTAGTCCACCCCACTGTGCTGCCGAGCTCTGGATTGGACGCTGGGCACACGCCAACTTGGCGATTTCACACTTCGAGAGCAGTGCTGTGCTTTGCTGTGCTGTGGTAATATGCGCATCCTTTCACTTTCTGTGTGGTTCTGTCAACTCTATGCTCCCCTGCTGACCGACAAGTCAAAGTCATAGTAGTTCTGATGACCCGAGGATGGAAAAAGTATTCGAGACTGGATAACATAATGATATATCAAAAAAAGTGGAAGACGTTAGCTGCACCAAGGGGGAAAAAAAGAAGGAGGAGGTAACTCGCAGTAGTAAAAAGATCAGAAAAATGAACTGATGCAATGAACCGATACTGACTATCTAGGATCAACATAAATATTACACCAATGGATTGGAAAAAGTGATCTGCAGTACTTTTGGGCAAGCCACTGGTTTGCTTTTCAGTTTCTTCTTTATACTGCTTTCTTGACGGTTGAAACCCTATTTTAAGAATCAAGTTGTCCATGGTTCTTCTTACTTTGCACATATAATGGGGAATCGAAGCAGTTTAGTACATCCAACAGCTGTGCTAAGTTTGGCATTCATCCATTCTGTTGCAAAAGAAGCCAGATGAATGCTAAATTCATCTTTTGGTGTCATAACCAAACGGACAACAGGTCTAGCTTGTAATCTATTTTAATTTGAAAATTTAAGTGATGGCAGTTTACCTTATTCATCGTGTTCTTTACATCTTGGAAAACTCTCATGTTTGATCCAATGTTAAAGTAGTTTGTGTCAAACATGATGTTATAAAAGTTCTACACAATGCTTCACTATATACACCAAGTTCAAACTTAGTGTAAAACATGGGGGGAAATGTTATATGTGTTATAATGTTAAGTAAGCTATTGATTAACTCTAGATAGTTTAATTATGGTTTGTTAATCCAATTAGTATGTAATTTTATAAGAAAGCTAATAGTAACTTTCAATGATACATAATTAAAGGTTTTGAACAAAATATTTGTGATTCCGTATAAAACTAATATGTATCCGTGTTCAACTTAGTAAAGTTTTTCACTAAGATGAATCACATAACCACTTTTTGACGATGTGCCACATTGAGCAATTCGTGGCTAATATGTTAGTTCAGAGTTTTTTTTACTGAATTTCACAAGAGTATAACTAACACGAAAAAAACTCAGAAAAATAACGTGACTCGCCCTATAGTCTGTTTGCCGCGCTAAGTAGTATAGTCGAAACCAGCCCAGAATTTAATCTCTGCCGAAACCCTAAAGACCACAGTAGTACTGAGATAGTCCTCAATCTTAACAAGAGTGACACGCCACTAATCTGTGATGTTATCAAAACACTTGGATTGACATGTATGATGAATATGAGACTTTATATCTTATACATGTAACAAAAATCTCCTTAAGCAAGATATGAAATTTTCAAGATATCTCTTATCTTCATTGTTATTTTCCTTCAAATGAAATATAATTTTAATCTCTAGGGTTATATTTCAAAATGTGCTATTTAGAAAATATATCTTTCAATCTGGTTGATTTTATCAATTGCATTTAAAATAATATTTATATTTAAAAATTTCAAATATATAGTTTCATTTTCTAATTAAAATTATATTTATTTCTAAAAATAAATTAAATTTGAATACCAGTTACCAACAAGATGTACAATAATCATTGCATTCATAATTAATGTAAGTTCCTAAATAATTTGGATTATTTTATCAAGAAAAATATCCAAAAAAATTCAATATTTAATTATTGAAAAAATTGGAACAAAATTTTCACTAAATTTATTTTCAGAATAAAAAAATAAAAATTTACATATTATGTGATGCATTTTATTCTAATAAACATCTTCATGTTCATTAATTTGTTGTTACTTAATTCAAATTTTGCTAATTACTAAGTTGATAATGATCCATTAAAATAGTCAAGTAATGCCACATAAAATAACTAACATAACTTCTATGTGACATTATCCCCGGTTTTAATAAAAAAAATATATATGTAGCTTTGCAAAAATGAAAATGGTTTTTATAGTAAATACAAATATTAAAATGCATAGTCTAGTTATAGGAAAAATAAAATTATATGATATGATAAAATATAAATCAATGTAAAATGTAAAACTCATTTTAGAAATAAAATTTGTTTAATAATTATATTTTTTAAATCAAAATTAGCTGTAAGTTATATATTTGAAATAAACTATTTTTATAAAATTATAAAAGTATAACACAATGTGAAGAAATATTATGTACCATTTAAATTTTTCTTCAATACAATTGATATTTTAGTATCATAAAATAAAAATTGAGGAAATTAGAATATCATGGTTTTTTCACAATGTTTAACCCATCCACTGGCGTTCGTTACCCTAAACCCACTTTCAACCACTCTCACTCCCTTAGGTTTATGTGCTTCCTTTGGCTTTGGGATTCTGGTTTTAACCCCTAAAACCTCGTGGTCATTTTCCCCCACTTTTGCTTCTGTGCTCCTCTTGGCTTCGGGATTAGGTTCTAAACCCTACGGTTAATCTTGACCTTATGAAATGACATGTTACAATTACACTATTATAAAACATTAAGTTAGCAAAAAATATGAAATTGTCCAAAAGTATGAAACTTTGGTCAAAATTCATGCATTTATTTATTTCAATCATGAACACATATTCTTTTATTTATAAATAAATTTTTTATTTATTTTTCATCCAATTAAAATTATTCAAAAACAGTAGTATGCAATAAAAAATTCATTTGCATAAGTATGATGTTTTCATATGCAAATAAATAAGAGTGAATCAAAACATGTCATATCCAACAATATAAAAGTCTTTATCAAGATATTGGTAAAAGTTTTGATTTCATCAATTTGATGATTTAATCAAGTTTATACTCTCCTTTAGTGTTATCTTTTAAAATAAAGTCATCATAAATTTAAAAATTGTACTCAGAAAAATATTTTTTTCAGTATAAAAATGAAAATATCTTACTTAAGATCATCCTTATATATTTTACTAAAATTTATTGATATTAAAAGATTTCTAACATTCTCAAAATTTGAATTATGATATCATAGCATAAAAAATTTCTTGCATTTTCAATATATTATGATCTGTAGTATAGCTTTCTATATAATAAGTCAAAGTTTGTTGTATTCATTTTTATATGAGATAATTTGATCATGAAAAATTTTAATTTATTTCAGAATTATTAATATTTAATTTTTTAAAAATATCTAATTAAATTTATGAAATTACAAATCACAGAACAATGTGATTGTGCATTTTTGTACCTTTTATGTGATTTTATGTAACAATTTGCTTGCATCTTTTCATTTCAATTAATCAGTGATAAATATAAATCAAGAGATTGTTACATAAAAATCACATAAAAAATACAGAAAATGCACAATCACATTGATATTGTGATTGAAATATGTGACGTGACATTGCAGTGTAATTAACGAGATCACAAATGATTTTGAATGGTAAAATTTCAGTTGTGGTAAGGAGAGCTTTGTTTGTGAATCTCTTCTATATTGAACACAAGCTACACTAACGTTAATTATACTAACCTGAGTTACCAAAATGACTAAGTACACTCTTAACAAAAATAAATATAATAACACTATTTAAAAAAATTAATACTTCTTAAATGATCAAATTAAATTTTAATAAATTTTTTGCAAAAAAGGCTTTACATTTATCTGTAAAATACTTTGTATCTTATATTAATATAAGATACAAAGTATCTTATATTAATATACTTTGTATTTAGATTTATACATTCATACATTTTATCTATAATTGTGTCTCAACATGTTTTTTGAAATAATTTATGTTTAGTATGATTGTTGCATAATCTACTTTCATAAGATTTTGCTATCAATTATGTAATTTGATTTTCAATGATATTTTTAAAATGATAGACATTCCATTTTATTATTTTCAAAATATGAATTATGAAAAGAAATATGATATAATATTATATGTCTTATAAAAAATATTTCCATAATTTGGATCCAAACTTTTTACAAAAATTATCATCAAGTATGGTTCATTGATTTATTATGCATAATATAAAACGGAAATCCATGTTTATTTATGAAAGTCTTTCAATCATTATATGATAATTACTATGTCAAAAATGATATTATATGACTTGCATTAGGTTTATATTCTCATAATATTGAAAAATATTTTAAAAATGTTTTAGACTTAAAAGTCTTAAATAAATTAGATTCCCATGAACAAAAATAGGTCACCTATCTTGAATAGAATTGACAATCATAATATATGAAACATTCAACCTAAACACTCATAAAGTATATGATCCAAATACACACACACACACTCTCAAATGCTAGAGCCAAAATGAAAATGTTTAAACACATTTTGTATATCTGTATTTGAACACTTGCTATAACTTGATAATATCCTTTTCACATTTAGAAAAAATAATATAGATCAATTACTCAAAATATGCAAATAATTACTGTATGAAAAAAAATAAAAGACCTCGTGCAAATATATTGATCATGTATATAAAAAATATGATGAATAATGTTTGAATTTGAATAGAAAAATTAAAAAAATTTCACTTCAATTTATATTTTTGATTTACATTTATCACTGATTAATTGAAATAGATTGGATTAATTGATGATTAATTAGATGAATGATGAATGTCCGGACATCCGGACATCTAAGCTACTTTTGAACAATCATCTAATTTTTGTCCGGATATCTAATCTATATAAAGAATTTGGAAATTTATTTTCAATAAAAAGTATATATTCTGATGAAATTATGATCATGTTTGATATGAAGATATTATAATGTAGAATATAAATTTCAGAATAGTTTATGTAAGTTATA